GGGTTGTAAAATGACCACAGTACCTCATTCCTTCTGCACTTACTAACTGGGATTCTTCTATGAAGAATAACTGCATCTTAAACTATTTAGTTTATCCATTCAGTTTTTAACTTAAAACTTCATATTTTTATTATTAGAACCTCTATTTTAAAGATGTTATGTCATCTGTATAGTTTTCTGTTTTCTGATATGTTTTCAAATTTCTCTTATTTAAGTATAGTAAGTATAATTATTTTATAATGTATCAGATGATTACAGCATTTAAAGTATTTGAGGCTCAGTTTCTGCAGTTGTTTCTTCTGGTTCTCATTTACAGTATCTTATCTTTTTTGTGTTTAGCCATTTTTATCATGAGCTACTACAGTAACTTCCTTTGGAAAGTGATTTGTAGTTCTTTGTTGCCTTGGATGAAGGGACATGTTTCCAGAGTGGATTTGTGTTTGCTTCTGCCAAGTGCCTAGGGCAGTATACTCTCCTCCTTGGAACCACTTAAATCTAAATTTACATCTTGAGTTTTATTTAATCACCCAAATGTGAAATTGGACTGCAAATTTCTTTTAAAGCTTAATTGTGGTCGCAAATTCCCCTGTTCCATTTGGTGCCAAGGCATGCTTTCTTGCAGTTCCCTGGAGGTGGAGAGCTGTGGGCAGCTTCACTACAGGGAGGACCTTCTCTCAGACTCACCACCTCAAGTGGGCCATCTGTCCCTTCCTTTAGACAAAAAAAGCGCAATAACAAAGCTTAATTCTATAATTTTTAAAAAATATATTTTATTGATTATGCTATTACAGTTGTCCCATTTCCCCCCCTTCACTCCCCTCCACCCTGCATGCCCCCTCCCACCCACATTCCCCCACTTTAGTTCATGTCCATATAAATTCTTTAGCTTCTACATTTCCCATGCTATTCTTGCCCTCCCCCTATCTATTTTCTACCTACTATCTATGCTACTTATTCTCTATACCTTTTCCTCCTCTCTCCTCCTCCCACTCCCCTGTTGCTAACCTTCCATGTGATCTCCATTTCTGTGGTTCTGTTCCTGTTCTGGCTGTTTGTTTAGTTTGTTTTTGTTTTTGTTTTAGGTGTGGTTGTTAATAATTGTGAGTTTGCTGTCATTTTACTGTACATTTTTTAAATATTCTTTTCTTAGATAAGTTCCTTTAACATTTCATATAATAAGGGCTTGATGATGATAAACTCTTTTAACTTCACCTTATCTGGGAAGCACTTTATCTGCCCTTCCACTCTGAATGAAAGCTTTGCTAGATAGAGTAATCTTGGATGTAGATTCTCGCCTTTCATGACTTGGAATACTTCTTTCCAGCCCCTTCTTGCCTGTAAGATCTCTTTTGAGAAATCAGCTGACAGTCTTACGGGAATTCCTTTGTAGGTAACTGTCTCCTTTTCTCTTGCTGCTTCTAGGATTTTCTCCTTCATTTTAATCTTGGGTAATGTAATTATGATGTGCCTTGGTGTGTTTCTCCTTGGGTCCAAGTTCTTTGGGACTCTCTGAGCTTCCTAGACTTCCTGGAAGTCTATTTCCTTTGCCAGAATGGGGAAATTCTCCTTTATTATTTGTTCCAATAACTTTTCCACTTGTTGCTCTTCCTCTTCTCCTTCTGGTACCCCTATAATTCGGATGCTGGAACATTTAAAGATGTCCTGGAGGTTTCTAAGCCTCTCCTCATTTTTTTGAATTCTTGTTTCTTCATTCTTTTCTTATTGGATGTTTCTTTCTTTCTTCTGGTCCACTCCATTGATTTGAGTCCCAGTTTCCTTCCCATCACTATTGGTTCCCTGTACATTTTCCTTTATTTCACTTAGCATAGCCTTCATTTGTTCATCTAATTTGTGACCAAATTCAACAAATTCTTTGAGCATCCTGATTACCAGTGCTTTGAGCTGTGCATCTGATAAGTTGACTATCTCTTGGTCGCTTAGTTATATTTTTTTCTGGAGCTTTGATCTGTTCTTTCATTTGGGGCATTTTTTTTTTTTTGTCCCAGCGGCTGGTTCCTTAGCAAGGGGCGGAGCCTTACGTGTTCACCAGGGTGGGGCAACCAGCTACTGGCTTGTGACACTGTATGTGGGGGAGGGGTCCAAAAGGGAATAATGGTGCTTGCTCCACTCTCTGCCAGATTTCAGTCACTTCCACCTCTTCCCCCAAGCAAACTGAGCCCTTCTGGTGCTGATTCCCATGTGGGTGGGCTTGTGTATGTTCTAGGACCCTGTGGGTTTCTCCATCAACCACTCCTGTGAGACTGGGGGTTTCTCTCGCTGCCTCAACCCCACAGGTGTTTTCAATCGGCGTTTTGAGGCTTTATTTCCCCACACTGGGACCCTGGTTGCTTGGTCTGTTTCACTCCCCAGTTTCACCTGGTTTACCTGCGTGCAAATGTGGGACTGCCTGATCCTCCAGCCACCTTGTGCGCTGCGTCTCTCCACGATCTGCCGCCTTGCTGGGTCCTCCAGCTGCAGCCTTGTGTGACCAGGGGTCCACCAGCCACTACTTTGCCATGGCCCCCTCCAACCCCTCTCCGACTGGCTGCCCAACTCCGCCCCTCCTACCACTCTGGATGAATATGTTTACTTTAACTCCTTGGTTGTCAGACTTCCATACAGTTCAATTTTCTGTCGGTACTGGTTGTTTTTTGTTTCTAAATTATTGTTGTCCTTATTTTGGTTGTGCAAGGAGGCACAGTGTGTCTACCTATGCCTCCATCTTGGCCAGAAGCCTAGTTCTGCAGTTTTTTAAATGCCCTCTAAGCAAATGAGACTACCATGTTTCAAATCTCTATAGTTTTCTGACTTCATTTAGATTCAGGCCTGTTAATTCCTTACTATCATTTTAGCTTTACCATGCTTTTAAACTTTTCCAGAACAAACTATTACTTTCATTGGAACTTGTCTTATCCCTCGCTCCTTAGCTTTCTAGATATTTATTATTAATATAACCCCAAACTCTCCTTTGCCTATACAAATCTCTTCTCAATCAATTCAAATGCATTAGGTATTCTGTCGATTTTATTTCTTGAAGAAATTACTCCCAAATCTTCTGAACAGCTCCAATCTTGATGAATTGATCTCTAGCCCTGCCCTATAACTTGGAATCTCCCTTCACCATTGCCCTTGGGATACCTTTTGTTTTTCTTTTGTGCTGGATCTTCTATTTCTTGGGTTCCATACTGTTTTCTTTATTGACTTGTTTTTACTGATTTGTCTTGGTGTAATAAATCCTTTCCTATCTTTTTGAAAAACTGTGCCTGGAATGTCAATATTTTGAGAAGTTATATATCTGAAACTGTCTATATTTTGGATTTAAAATTAGACCAGTTTGGCCAAATATAAATTGAGGCTAGCAATAATTTTCTTCTAAATTTTGAAGGTGTTTCTTCATTGTATTCTACCTTACAGTGTTGATGAATTGACAAGTCTAATGCTGTTCTGATTTTTTGACCCTTGCAATTTGATCTTTCTCTCTGGAAACCTGGAATTATTTCTGCATCCAGTGTTCAGATTGTCTGTAATGATGTGTCTTGATGTGGCCCTGATTTGTTCTGCCTGATACTATGCCCTTTTAATTTAAAGACCCAGTTCTTCATTTCAGGGTAATACTTTTAAAGAATTTCCTTGATTATTCTTCCCTCTGATTCTCTGTTCTCTTTCTGAAGCTCTTATTATTCAGACGTTTGGCCTTCTGGAAAGGTCCTCTAATTTGTATTAACTTTCTCCTAAAGTAGAGCAAATTTATTCTTCAACTTTATCCTACAATCTTTCTACTGAATTTTTATTTCTGATATCACGGTTTTGAGTTCCAAGAGCTCTTTTTGCTTCTCTGAATAATAGATACTTTTTAAATAGCTTCCTGTTGTTATTTTATGGATACACTATATTATTTCTCTGAGGATATTAATGATGAGTTTTTGTCTTATTTTTAAAGTTTTTTTCTCCCTTACAATTGTTATTTCTTCTAAATTTCTTTCTTATTTCTTCCTTGTTTTGCTTTTTTGTATACTGAAGACTTTCCTCAAATGTCTAATGATCCTTGGCTGTCTGCTACTACTTAAGAGTGAGGACATTAAAAAACTTATTGGAAAGACTGTGTGACGGCTGGGCATGTAGGCCAAGGGTTTACCGAAACTGTAGGATTCCTTCATCTGTTTCATTAAGAGAACCCTGATGACAGTATCTTTGGGATTTTTTGCGGGGGCTGTCAGATTCCCCAGAAAGGTTTTCCAAATTACAATCATACTCTTGTTTACTTTTGTTTTGGGAATCAGTTTCTCAGATTTGCTCAGCTGGTTACCATTATTTCACTCGTTTATTGGTTTTTAAAATGTTGCTGCAGTTGTGGCCTTTCCCTCTCTTTGTTTTTATATGGCCTGGAGGATAATTTGTGCAATCATCCCCCTCCCCCCAGTCTTTAATGGAAGTCCTGTTGCTTATTTATACTTTTATCACAAGAGGACAACATATTATACACAGAATCGTGTAGAAATATTTTGACACAATTACCAGATTACTCTAAAATTGTATGCATACATGAAAAGAGAAATGCTTTTCTGTAATTGTTTGTCAACAAGCAGTATTTTTCAGAGGTATTGCGTGCCCCCACCCACCCACCCACCCATTGGCGTCAATACCCCGCATGGCAGCGCCCAGATACGATGTAAGAAACGACTAAAAAAGTCGTAAGAAGAGATGTAGGTGACAGCTGTGTCAGGACAGAATAAAACTGCTTAAAAAGGCCCAGGGCACAGACCGCGCCTCCCTGGAACTAGGAGAGGGTGGGAGGTAGTCTGATCTCATCGATGATTGGTTGCCGTTTAGGACTAATTACACTAAGCGAGTGGTTTTGGTACTCATCATGATCCACCTCCCAGTGGGCTTTGGGACCACGTTTACAAATGAGACCAGGGTACAGGAGAGGGACAGAACATCTAACCAATGAAACTTTGGGGTGGTAATAGACGTGGTGAGGCCGCTGCCAGGTTTAGGGCGGAAGGAGTTCTGGATAAGGAGGGAAACGAAAGATGGCGGCAGAACAGCTGCTGTCAAGCCTGTTAGGGCTGCTGTTTTTGGGGCTCCTGTTACCTGCAGCTCTGACTGGCGGAGTCGGGAGCCTGAATCTGGAGGAGTTGAGTGAGATGCGTTATGGGATCGAGATCCTTCCATTGCCTGTTATGGGAGGGCAGGTGAGGAGGCGTAGATCGGGCGAGGGTCCTGGGCCAGGCGAAGGAGAAAAGTAGAAGAAGGGCAGCTGTGGAGTCGGTGGCGGTAGCCTAAGGAGAATCGGAAAGAATAGGTAGGGGTTTTACGATGTTCCCTGAAGGTCGCAGACTGAGACCCATTATTCCCTTGGGGCCCCGAGAAATGGGAGGGCGGGGCTTCCTGCTGTCAGCTTCAGTCCTAGTTCCTGATTCAGACACCCTCAGACTTCGGCCTGGTAGAGAAGTGATAGTGCCAAACACAGCTGGAGGACTTGTGGCTCATTCTGTCTTGACTGGGCTTTGCCCCAGGATCCAAAGAGGGATCTCATTGTTCTTCCTGACCCAGCCTCTCTTTGTCTCCCTGTCCCCTGACTCTCCCTCCCTTCTTTCCCAGAGCCAAGCTTCCGACGTGGTGATTGTCTCCTCTAAGTACAAGCAACGTTATGAATGTCGCCTGCCAGCTGGAGCCATTCACTTTCAGCGTGAAAGGGAGGAAGAGACACCTGCTTACCAGGGGCCTGGGATCCCTGAGCTCCTGAGCCCAATGAAAGATGCTCCTTGTCTGCTGAAGGTGAAGGGAACTGGGGTGGGTGAGATGAGGGCTTGGTAACTAGCAGTCTGTCTGAAAACCAGGGTGTCAGTGAGTAAGGTGGGATGGGGAGGACCTGTCAGAGTTAAGACCATTGGAGGAGTAGACACGTTGTAGGGACAGGAAAGAAGCAAAGAATCTTGCAACCACTGGTGATGCTTTGGTAAATGTAGAGGAGGGTTAGAATAGATTTCAGAATTAGGGTTAAGCCAAGATTGAGGTAACTAAAGAGGGTCAGTGCAGGGTAAGAGGGAGACTCCCCTTGAGAAGTCTTTCTAGTAAAGCTACCTGCTGTCCCTGTCACTCCGCCCCAGTATCCTACTTTGTTTTCATCATCTGAAGTCATCTCATTAACTGAATCATCCGTTTATTTATTTTTGGTCTGAGTCCCAGCAGTACACTGTAAGTCCGTGAAGTGAGAGAGTTTCTCTTGTTCAAAGCTGTGTCCCCAGTGACTAGAATAGCACATGAAATGATGTAGGAATTCAGTTTATATTTTATGTCTGCCTGGTCTGAATGCTTCAAGAATACCATGATTCTTACCTTTATGGGGAGCAAAAAAGAATTTAAAAAATCTTTGAAAAAGGAGGCATAGAAAGCCCACTGGTGGAAAACAGACTTTAGAGGTGTCTCTCTGAGTCACAGAGTAAAACAGCCCTCTCTCCTGTCTGAGAATCTGGCGGATTAAGTGTGGAAGCAGAGGGATATGAGAAGTAGAGGAGAGGTTATGTGTCTTAGAGCCAGGAGAGATTCTAGTTCTAAGAAGAGGCATCTGTACTTCCATCCTCATGATTTTCTTTTAATTGTCAGACCAAGGACTGGTGGACGTATGAATTCTGTTATGGACGCCACATCCAGCAGTACCACATGGAAGGTGACTCATGCCTGCATTTTTCCTAAGCCCTTAGCAACCTGTCATAGAAGTGACCTGCCTCCCCTGACCCCTACCCTCCTAGTCCTCTTAAAAGGGAATAACTGTGATTCACTATGGTTTCTCTTGCAGATTCAGAGATCAAAGGTGAAGTGCTCTATCTTGGCTACTACCAATCGGCCTTCGACTGGGATGATGAAACAGCCAAGGTGGCAGGAGTGTGGGGCTGGGAGAGAAAGGGTTGCTGACTGCAGACTAGGAGTCCTGACAAGAAGGGGAGGGTCAGGGTTAGCTACATCTTTCTTGGGACCTGGTGGCCATTCTTCCTCCTTGCTCTCTTTCTCATGCCCCATCTCTCCTGCCCGATGCCCCCCCCCCACCCAGGCCTCCAAGCAGCATCGCCTGAAACGCTACCATAGCCAGACCTATGGCAACGGGTCCAAGTGTGACCTCAATGGGAGGCCCCGAGAGGCTGAAGTTCGGGTGAGTCTTGAAAGAGGGAAGTTGATACTTCCTCAGTGACAATTCAGATTCTAATGGAGGAGGGCAAGGCTGCGTTTTACAGTCAAGATGGTCTCTCTGGGCCCTAAACACTGAGTTTAAGACTCATATTTCCAGCTACCAGCTCTGTGTAATTGCCTGCAGATTCAGAAACACTTCTAATCAACATTTCCCAGATCCCCTCCAAACCCTGAGTGTCATCATTGACGGTTCTTTTTCCTTCTCTGTCCTCCTTCATGTGAGGGTTTGTGCTCTTCATTGAGGTTTGCCGGTGCAGCTATTGGGCTCTGCTCTGGGGATATAGCGGTGGGCACACATGCAGCCCTTGCCCTCATGGAATGCATAGTCTAGAGAGGCAGACAGATGTTAGCAAAAGAATCACAGAAATGAGCCTGTGATTACAAATGGAGGAATGATATGAAGGAAAGGAGTTGAGTTCTCTCAGAGTAAATTCTGAAGCCCTTTCATTCTATCCTAGATTTCTCTCACAACTCCCCTCTTCTTTCCTGTGCTTTGCACCTTCCTCACTCACTTACATTACTGCCAACAGCCTCCAAACAAGTGTTCCAGATCTAGTGGTCCTCAGCGAGTTTAGGCAGGCAGGCAGATGTATGGTAGGAAAAGTCCCTTAGGGGATCCTGATGCATATTCATTAACACACCTGTAGAGACCCACATTGTACAAGAATTATCTTTCTGTAATACAGATTTGCACGTGCAATTGTGTGCTGGTAAATGTTGAATAGCCACGTTACCAGGGTGTAGAGTAAAGGGGGTAAAGAGCTGAACCCTGATTTATAATGCTTGCCATACCCACTGTGTAAGTATCCCTACCATGGCTAAATTCATGCTACCATCATAATGCCATCTGTCTTGCAACATTCCTGAAAATTTCCCAGTTGGCTCTTGTGAACTGCTGTGAGCTGGACTGAACACAGTGCTATAAGTGTATGTCACTCCTCTGCCCAGACTGGAAAACCTTTGATGATTCTTCCTTATTTAAAGGGTAAATTCCAAATGTTTCCACCCAGACCAATGTGGTAGCAGTGAAGTTGGTGGAAAGCAGTCGGATTCTGAATGTATTTTGAAGGAAGAGCCAATAAGATTTGTTGATAGATTGGATGTGGGGTGGAGTCAAGTATGACTCCAGAGTTTGTAGCTGCAGCAACTGGAAGAATGGAATTGTCGCTGAGTAACGTGGGGAGGAGTGGGTTTGGAGGAGCAAACTAGGTTGGTTTATGCACACGAAGGCCAAGATGCCTATTGGACATCCCAGTGGTGATATCCATTCGGTAGTTGGCTCTGATATTCTGGAGTCCAGGGATGAGGCCTGGCCCGGAGATAAAAATACTCATTGTACTTCCGTCCCACTGGCCTTTTTTCTGTCCTTGAACCAGTGGATCTCATTATTCCCTCCACCTAGAGCTATCTCCCCACAGGTATTTGAATACCTGCCTTCATCCTCTCATTCAGATTTTATACCCTGTGATACTTCCACAGGGACACCTTATGTAGACACACGGACACACCTGCACACACGTGCTCACCCATCTGTCCCCCTCCTGGTAAACTCCTTCAGCGTTTTACTCTTCAAAGCACGAATCATTTCCTGAAATCATCTTCTTTGTTTGAATTTAATCTCTCTTTCTGTCTATCAGCCCCACTAGAATAAGCTCCAGGGAGGTAAGGACAATGTCCATCTTTATTCTGATGTATCTTTGTGTATGAAACAGTGCCTAGCACCAAGTAGGTGCCCAGAAATTACTCATTGAATGAAAGGAATAAGCCAATTCAAATGTCACCTATTTTATGTGTCCTTTCTTGGCTAACGCAGAAAGTTAGTTGTGCTCCTTCAGCACTTCATGTACATGCATCCACATCACATGTGTCCATGCCTCAGTCTGTTCAGGCCGCTGTAACAAAATACTGCAGACCAGGCAGCTTACGGACAATAGAAATTTATTTCACAGTTCTGGAAGCTGGAAGTTGGAGATCAGAGTGCTAGTGTGGTCAGGTGAGGGTCTTCTTCCAAGTCACAGACTGCTTGTATCTTCACATGGTAGGAGGGGTTAGTGGATTCTGTGGGGACTCCTATAAGAGCACTAATCGCATTCATGAGGGCTCTGTTCTCATGACCTAATCACCACCCCATCCAAGGCTCCACCTCCTATACTGATGCCTAATATCACATTGGGCATCAGGATTTCAACATAGAGATTTGGGGGGACACAAGCATTCAGACCATAGCAGCTCATGGACATCCACATATAGAATCCATTGTAGCACTTCACTGTATTCTCATTATTTCCTTATTTCTTTGTAGCTTCAGTATGCCAAGAACTGGGTGTGAAGACTGCACTGTCCTCATATCTATTGAACATAATGCCTTGTGCAAACACTGTAATAGGAACTAGGGCTAAAATGATGACTGAGAGACCAAGTCCTGCCCTCGGGAGGTAGACATTAAATAAGCAGCAACAACAAGCAGTATAAATATTCTGGGGGTTAAGTACACATCACAGGGGGCACAACATGAAGGAACTGAGTGTAGGTAAAGGAGTAGCCTCTGGAAGAAAGTGACCTTCGGATTGGTGATTAAAGGATGGGGAGGTGAGAAGATGGCCTATCCCAGGACTTGAGAGCTGTTCATGGTGACTGGAGAGAATTGAGGGATTGGGCTTTGGGAGGTTGTGTGAGGGGAGCTGGGCATTTGTTTGGTGTTGACGAGTCACAGGTCAAGAAACTCTAGGTATGTTGAAGAGTTTGGACAGTCTGGGAAACAGGGCGAGCCAATGAAGTATGTTAAGCAGAATAATGCCATACTCAGTTTTTTTTTTTGAAGGCTCACTCTGGCTGGGGTGTAGAAAATGATTGGGAAACAGGTTAGGAGGCAGTTGCTGTAATGCAGGTGAGAACACAAGGTGGCCGGGGATGAAGACCAATTGGATAGATGGTGATTCTGTTACTGAGATAGATATGGTGGGAAAAGGAGTAGTTGGTGAAGGAAAACGGTTTTGGTTTTGAACAGGATGATTTGAGTGCCTGCAGGCATCTGAGTAGAGAAACCTGGGGAGGCTATTGGATCTGTGGGTCTGGAACTCGGGAGAGTGATCCGAATTGAACCTGGAGGGCTGGGAGTCATCAGCACCTTGGTTCCTATCGGAGTCATGGTGTGGATAGAATATCCCGCCAAAGAAGCAGTATATAGGAGGAAAGTGGGACGTATCTTTTGAGTGAACTGTCATTGAAAGCAGGGTGCAGAAGGGGGCTTTGCTGAGAAGAATGGGTTGGAGAGGAGACTATGGTGACATGGAACCCAGAAAGGAAAGATCTCAAGCAGAGACTGGTCCAGGATGTTGGCTGCATCTGAACCTTCCAGGAAAAGGGGAATTAAAAACCGTGCATGGTCATGGGAGTTAATTATTTTAATAAAAGCAAAGCATGCACATAGAAACAAAACAATTCAGATGGTAGGCATGAAAACCAGATGAAAATTCCTAAGTCCTCTACTCCTTATCACCCCGACCAGTCCTTTGGTTGGACTTAATAACAGAGGCTGTTGGTGATCTTGCTGGAGCAGTTGCAGTGGGGTGGCGAACATGAGGTGTTGAGGAACATGGGGGAGTCTGGATGCGAAGGAGAGGGAAAGGTGGGCGCTAGTGGGAGCAGCTGTGGGGAGGGTGCTTATTTTGTTGTTTTGTTTTTCAAGATGGGGGCATGTATTTTTTTCTTTTTAATTTTTAGTTTTTACAGCATAGTGGTTAGACATTTTTTAACTCACAAAGTGATCCCTGATAAGTCTAGTACCCACCTAACACTATGCACAGTTATGACAGTATTACTGACTGTATTCTCTGTGCTGTACTTTACATTCCCGTGACTATTTTGTAACTGTCAATTTGTACTTTTTTTTTGGCAGAATTTTATGGTTTTATTAACACAAATACAATGTGCACGCAATCTGTCTATTCATTTTCTTTGCTGTGCAGCCTGGCATTGGGATTGGCTACTCTGACGGCCACCTGGGCCACTCTGTCCACAGTGGCTTTGCGGCTCTCTGAGGAGATGCCATGAGCAGTCTCAGCACAGTGAGATTCCTTGCACATCAGCAGCACTTCAAGCTCCTTGACTTTGTGGACCAGGAGCTTCCAAAAGCCACTGGGCAGCACGTGCTCTGTTTTCTTGTTGCTCCCATGTCCCATGTTAGGCCTCAGGACCCGGCCCCGACTCTCCTGCATACCCTATAGTCTATGCCTCTGGGTTTCCCTTGGTTACACTTAATTTTGACATATCAGTCTGACTGGTGCCAGATGAACTTCTTGGTCCTCTTTTTGACAATCTTGGTTTAATGAGGCGTCTAGGGCAGCCATGGTGTTGAGGAGCAGATGGCTGCCACCTGCCAATTTGTACTTCTTAATCCCGTCACCTTTTCACCTGTCCCTCCAGACCCCCTCCCATCTGGCCACCATCAGATTTGCTCCTCTGTGTCTCTGAATCTGTTTCTTTTTTGTTCATTTTAGATTCCACATTTAAGTGGCATTTGCCTTTGACCTGGTTCACTTAGCACAATACCCTCTAGGTTCATCCATGTTGTCGCAGATGGTGAGGTTTCGTTCTTTTTTATGGCTGAGTAATAGTCCATTATATATATGTACCACATCTTCTTCGTGCATTCATCTGCCCATGGACACTTAGGTTTCTCCTGTGTCCTGGCTGTTGTAAATAATGTAGCAATGAACATAGGAGTGTATATATCTTTTTGCACCTGGGTGATTTGATATTTCACCAAAAAACTCTGCATGAGATGTGATGAATTAGTGTTTTGGACTTATTTGGATATATACCCAGAAGTGGAACTGGTGGGTCTTCAGATCATTCTGTTTTTATTTTTTGAGGAATCTCCATGCAGTTTTCCATAGTGGCTGTACCAATTTGCAGTCAAGATAGGAGCATATTTAAATGCTGTTGGGTGGACCGAGTAGA